AATTTTGATGAAAATAATAAAAATTAATAATTTTCCGAAAAATGCGCAAATCGCATTAATTATGATAGTATGTGTATTAATATGCGTAAATTATGATAATGCGTGTAATTATATGCATAAATTATGATAATCACGGAGATAATCGTAGTAATTTATGCAGAGGCTTGCGATTATGTTAATGTGTGCAGTTATGATAATTTGCTTAGTTTCGTTTATCCAGAGTTATCAATCAGGATAACACGATTATCATAGATTCATTTACCGATTATCCTAGTGTGTGTTATAATATTTTAGGTCTCCATTTTCATATCTCATCACAGGATACAGTTGTCAAGAATAAGACAGTTTTGCATGGACTTGGAAGGAACACTCGATATGCTTCTGGATTACAATTTTATTCTAACAAGCACGTGACATTCTATCATGCAGGTCAAACATGCGTCAATAATTCATGGGCAAGATTATGCAATTAACTAATATGAACGACAAAAACTTATGCAGTTGTGACATTATGCAATTATGCAATATGAATAACGAAAACTCTTATGCATTTGACTAAAATGAATGAATAAACACTTATGCATTTAGCTAAATTGAATAACTAAAAATTCTTATGCATTTGCGATATTATGCATTAACTAATACGAATAACCAAAACTCTTATGCAATTACGAGATTATGCATTTGACTAAAATGAATGAATAAACACTTATGCATTTAACGAACTGAATGACTAAAAACACTTCTATCAATTGTAACCTCTACTTTTCCTACCAGGCATCATTAGTTCGCCCATGTATTGATCACAATCGGCGACTGGTCGAGTTTGAAAACAAGCATGACACACTTCATATGGCGGTAATAAAAAGCACTTATTGTATCCCAGAGGCGAAAGTATATGTCAATAGATTCATCGGCAAGTCTAAAATCCTTTTTAACGGAATGTTTGATACAATGGTGGGTGAGGGCGTGTGGGCGCGAGAGCGAATCTGGCTCTGTTTTAATTAACTCTTCGGCGAGATTCTGGGACAAAGGAAACTGGTTTGACAAGATTTTCTCTGTGTTTTATTGAGTCTGTATGTGGGGAGCGATACGACCTCTGTTGTTTGTGCGAGCGGCAGCTGAGACTTTCTCCGCTGTGAGGTGAGCGGCGGCGCTCGTTCAGAAGACTTTGACTCTTTTTCTCCACGGCGGGATGACGAGTCGGTTTGGGTTGATGCTGGTCGATCTGGGTGTCGCTCGTTGTCGCTCGGTGTCGCACGGTGGCGCACGGTGGCGCACGTTCAGCGCAAAGTGGTGCACGGTGGCGCACGGTGGCGCACGGTGTCGCAAGTTGGCGCTCGTTCAGCGATCTCCGCCTTTCCTGCGGGTTGTTCGCTGGTCGTCACTCTGACGAGGAGCGATGCTTCGTTCGTGGCAGGGTGGACGTTGGCGTCTTTGTTGGCTTCACTCGCAGCTCTGCGACTCAGGGTAGCGATTCTTCTCAGGTGGTGCAGACCTCGGCTTGTAGCTACGCGTCGCTACTCCGCGACCCTCGTCATTCTCAATGATGAAAACTTCTTGACGATCTGTGGTGGAGCCGAAGATGGGCTCGTGGCCCGGATGATCTCTGGTGGAGCTCGTGGCCCGGACGATCTGTGTTGTATGGATTTTCCTTCGGTTTATATCGGAAACTTCCACTCGGCTTCCCGAGTTGTTCAAAGGCTGTGTCATAAAACCTTCCTGTGGGCTGAACCATCTGCGTCCGTGTGTGTGTCCGTCCGTGTGTTTCGCGTGCGTGTTTGTCCGTGTTGTGGGGAGACAAAGGCGGTTGTTTCCACGGTGGGAGCACCCGGCGTATGCTTATTTATTCGAAGGCGTGTGTTAATTTCCTTTGAGCCCTTGCCCCAACTTTATGGGTGTCATTTCCTGGCTTGGTGCCTGTGTGTCGTGATCCTCTCGGAAAGACAAAGGCGGCCGTGTTGCTCGCTTCCCATGGGTGTTGTGTTTGGTTAATTTTGAGAGCCTTCTCCGCCCTTGATTTCTCTTCTACTTTAATTCCGTACTTATTTTTTGACTTCTTGTGATTATTTGATCTGATATCCCGGCTAGGAATTTTGTTTTGGAGCGAAATCGATGCCATAATTATTCTTTGATGCTTCGGCCCGGCCGTGTAGATATTCTTTAAAGGTAAATAATGTCAGTATTTATTAACAATGATGGGTCGCGATTCTGGTTCAGATTGTCGTCTGGTTTTCAATTGGAGTGAGGATGGATACTGTTTGCTTAATCTTTATGGTTAAGTTGGTAACTTGTGTATTTAACATGGTTCAAAGACCCATCTGTGCTTTTTGTCGTCGATGCTGTTTCTTTGTTAAGAATATAATTATCTCTTCCTCCGTGTCTCCTGGTTCTGCAACCCCCCGCCTGCAATTCCCCCCCTCCCTTGTTCCTCTTGTGTGAATTTAGGGGAGTTTTTTTTTTAATTACCTTATTGCCCCCCCTTTCATGTCCTCTCTCCTTTGAAATGAGGTATGCGCGCATCTGTGGAAGTGTGGGGGCCTCTGTGGAAGTGTGGGGGCGTGTTCGTTCCCACGTGGCCGCGTCTATTAAAAAAAACGATATTATCTATGTTGGCAGAATAATTCTTTAAAAAAATAAATAAATAATATTAAAAAAAATAAAAAGGGGGTACATACACAACAGAGGGAATGACTGTGGCCGAGAAGGCCTGAAGCTTCGTGCGGAGCCGGTCATAAGCACACTGCCCAGGTATGGGAAACTCTCCACTCTCTGCACAACTGCCGTATCACCAATTGGGAGTTGTGGGGGTGGAGTGTCCAATGGTACAAAATACCCAGGCAGGTGCTGATGGTAAGGCTCCACCTCTTAGTGGCACACTCCAGTTTCAGCAGAAGCATCTCTAACTTCTCCTTTGAATGAGCAGCAATTACCAAATCATCGGCATACGTAACATGGTTGAGCAATAGGGAGCCATCCCTTGACCAAACCCGGGCATCGAATAGCCTCCCATTGCATCTGTACCACATGGAAATTCCTCCGGTACAGCTACTGAATGTTTCACGAACTACGTGGTTGAAATAGATGTTACATAATGTGGGAGCCAGAGGACATCCCTGTCGCACCCTAAAGTAAACAGCGAATGTCTCCGACTCCCGGCCACGTAGTTTTACCCGGGCCCGCTCACCATCATGAAGGTCCTTAATGATCGCGAGCAGAGGGTCAGGTACTCCGAAAGCACGAAGAACAACCCAGAGCCCATGCCTACTGATAGTATCATAGACCTTGACCGGGTCAATAAAGCAGAGATGTAGGTCTTGTTGGAATTCCATCCACCTCTGCTGTAGCAGACAGACAGAAAATATGGCATCTGTGCAGGACCGGCCTTTCCTGAAACCACATTGGGGCTCCTCAAGCCTCTCCTCAGCGTGCCTAGCAAGGCGATGTTGAATAATCCTTGCCAGGACTTTTCCCGGCACACTGAGGAGTGAGATGCCCCTGTAGTTGTTACAGTCTGTGCGGTCCCCCTTCTTAAAGAGTGGGACCACCAGGGCATCCTTCCAATCCTGCGGAACCCATCCATTGGTCCAGACTGTCGTTATGATGTCATGTAGGGCAGTCTGTGCACAAACGCCACTCTCCCTCAGCATGTCGCTTGGGAGATGATTTTTGCCCGGTGCCTTTCCTGGTCTGACTCTGGATCGCCTTCAGTACTTCCTCAACAGATGGCACCTCAGCCAGCAACTCACAGGGGGTGACTTCTTCCTCCAATATTTGAGGCACCGCAGCCTCAGCAGGGTTATCCCCACTTTGCCCCATGATGTTTTCCAGGCTGAGGAATTTCCTCTCCCCCAGGATCTCAAAAATTCTCAGAAAATCTGCAAACCTGTTCCTAGGGGGTCAGAGATTCCCCTAATGATGGTAATAGGTGTGGCACTGTAGGTGACTTTTTTGATGGAGTTAAATAGTGATTTGTGATCGTGGGCCACTGAAGAAGACTCCATCTCCTCAGCAACCCGTGACCACCACCCATTCTTGCAGCGCCTCACGGCTCTCCGAACCTCCGAGCGAAGGCTGCGGTAAGCCTCTTCATTCTCTGACGTGGAATGCTGTCGACGATTAGAGTGGGCCTGTCGCTTTTTCTCAACCATCCTGAACTCCTCCTCTGTCAGCAGTGTGTCTGCTGACGTCACGCCCCCCCCCCCCCAAACCCTCCGCGTAGGCCGTGTGTTAACCCAAGTCTCAGGCGAAGCCGGGTAGTAAAGCGAGTATTTGTATAATTGGCTAAGATGTGATTATTGCTGTGTTTTGTGATACTATTATTCTTCTCATTTCTTTCTTATTTTTTTATTTTCTCTCTATTTTTACTTACGACTGACCTTCATATATGACCAAATACCCATCCCAAACGGCGTTAAAAACACAAAAAGAACCAATAAAAAAAAACTTCTCGCAGTGATCTCGCAGTGATCTTTGTATCTCAAAAACCCCCTGGCTGGAGGTGAGTGAGGGGACCAAAACAATGTACGCGGTTTTTCCAGATCGTGGGGGGCCCGCGCCCTTAACCCCCGAGATGTGGAAGGGTCGACCGTATACAGCGGTAGCAGGCAGTGTCAGGGTCTGGATGGAACCCACGACCTCCTGCGTACCAGCCGAGGTAGTCAACGTGTCACAGCCACTCACACAGGCAGTGTCAGGGTCTGGATGGAACCCACGACCTCCTGCGTACCAGCCGAGGTAGTCAACGTGTCACAGCCACTCACACAGGCAGTGTCAGGGTCTAGATGGAACCCACGACCTCCTGCGTACTAGCCGAGGTAGTCAACGTGTCACAGCCACTCACACAGGCAGTGTCAGGGTCTGGATGGAACCCACGACCTCCTGCGTACCAGCCGAGGTAGTCAACGTGTCACAGCCACTCACACAGGCAGTGTCAGGGTCTGGATGGAACCCACGACCTGTGTACCAGCCGAGGTAGTCAACGTGTCACAGCCACTCACACGTCGCTCCGCTGTGTGTAGACGCGGTGCAGCAACGCCTCCGGTGCCATCCACTTCACCGGCAGGCGTCCCTGGAGGGGCGACAGGTGACGAGGGGAGGTCAACGACGCACAGCCTGACCCTTGACCCTTGACCCACCACCACCACCCTTTTATCCACCACCACCCTCTCCCCTACCTCCCTCTCTTTTCTTTTTTACGATCAGAGGAAACAAGAAGATGCTCGGTGTAGTCGGCACTTTGCTTCGTTCATCATTTCGTAATTTTTTTCAATGTTTTGCTTATGTGCCCCCCCCTCTTCTTTTTTTCAAATGAAAGATTTCATGAAAGATTCTCTCTCTTCTCTCTCCCCCCCCCCCCCTTCCCCGGGCATGACCACCGCCACCACCACCACCTCCTCCACCGCCACCACCGCCACCACCTCCACCACCGCCACCACCACCCCCGCCACCACCGCCTCCACCGCCGCCACCGCCGCCACCACCGCCACCACCGCCACTCACGGCAGCAGTCTTGTGCTGGTAGTAGTAGTCACGTTCGCCGCCCACGTCGCGGGTGAGGCCCAGATCAGCGATTTTCACCGAATAGCCGCCACCAACTCCGCCGTCAACGACGAGGACGTTCCTGGCCGCCAGGTCCCGGTGAACGCACTGTGACACCGACACACACGGTGCGTGGGTAGGTGTGTGTGGGTAGGAGATGTGTGTGGGTAGGGGTGTGTGGGTAGGAGATGTGTGTGTAGGGGTGTGTGGGTAGGGGTGTGTGGGTAGGTGTGTGTGGGTAGGGGTGTGTGGGTAGGGGTGTGTGGGTAGGGGTGTGTGGGTGCCGGACGGGCAACTCTGTCATGGACAGTGCTGTGGGGGGAGGGCCAATGCCGATTGGCCTCTCCCGTCATGGCGTCTGCGACCACCACAGTGGCTAAACGGGGGCTCTGGACGGGTGCAATGGGTTGGTAACCCCTCCACCTTCAATTAATTACCACTAAACCACAAATTAAATATGTAACTAATAAGTTTGTGGCGCAGGCCATGGGGGGGGGACAGGTGTCTATGACGTCTCCTGGCCAAACCCCAATTGTCGGAACCAGGAGATTGAATCTTCACCCTTGGGGCTTCTCCAGAAACAACGAAAAACCACTTCGTGTGGCGAGGTGGAATGTTCGAACACTCACTGCGGAGGAGAGGCTGCCACTCCTTTGTCGGGAGCTGGACCGGTACCGCCTGGATCGTTGTGGCATTCAGGAGGTCCGGTGGACCGGTCCTGGCTCCTGCCACCATAAGGGGTGGACAGTCCTTTACTCGGGGCAGGAGACTGCCAAACAACAGGGTCTGGCTCTTCTTCTGAACAAAAAAATGAAGGGGGCGTGGGAGCATGGCGGTGAGGTGTGGGAAGCTGTAAGCCCCAGGCTACTTTGGGCTCGCCTTCCCATCAACCGGAGACGAGGAGTGGTGGTCGTGGTTGCTTATGCCCCCACCGAACACGAACATCCGTGGAGGGATGCAGGCAAAGCCGATGAGTCAAATGCCTTCTATGACCTCCTGTCACAGGTGCTGGCTAGATTGGCCACTCGGGATAGAGTCATCTTGTTGGGTGACTTCAATGCCTGAGTTGGTCATGATGCTGGCAGCTGATCTGGAGTGATTAGAAGGCATGGGCCAGATCAGCTCAATAACAACGGTAGGAGGCTGCTAGATTTTTGTGCAGCCCATGGGCTTGTAATTACCAACACGCTCTTCCGGCATTGGCGCATCCACACAACATCATGAATGCATGACGGGTCCAAGCAAAAACATCTGCTGGTCTACATAGTGACGGACCAGCGGATGCGAGCCCATGTCCTTGACACCAGGACCTACCGTGGAGCTGATATGCCCTCTGACCATCGACTAGTCATCTGTAAGATGCGCCTGCCATTCTTCCACTCCGGTGGTGGGTGTACACCCAGGACCCCCTTCCAACCTAAAGTGGCCTGGTCTCAGCTGATGAAAGTTGCAAGTGAGAATTTCATCATTGCTTGCAGATGGGGTTGGCATCGTCCCAACTCCTCCTGATGTCGAGGGTTAATGGGCGAGGTTTAGGACTGTGGCTCATGCAGCTGCAATGGGTGCTTTGGATACGCGGTCCAGACCTCTCCAGAGACCCTGGCTGACAGAGGAGGTATTCAGGATAGTTGAGAAAAAGCGACATGCCCACTCTAATCGTCGACAGCATCCCACGTCAGAGAATGAGGAGGCTTACCGCAGCCTTCGCTCGGAGGTTCGGAGAGCCGTGAGGCGCTGCAAGGATGGGTGATGGTTATGGGTTGCTGAGGAGACGGAGTCTGCCTGAGTGGCTCACGATCACAAATCATTATTTAACTCCATCAAAAAGTTATCTGCAGCGCCACACCTATTTCCATCATTAGGGGAAAAAACGTTGATCCAATCTCCGACCCCCAGGAACAGGTTTGCAGATTTGCTGAGCATTTTTGTGAGGTCCTGGGGGAGGGGAAATCCCTCAGCCAGGAAAACATCATGGCGCAAAGTGGGGATAACCCTGCCGAGGCTGCGGTGCCTCAAATATTGGAGGAAGAGGTCACCCCCTGTGAGTGGCTGGCTGAGGTGCCATCTGTAGAGGAAGTACTGAAGGCGATCCGGAGTCTGAGACCAGGACAGGCACCGGGCAGAGATAATCTCCCAAGCGAAATGCTGAGGGAGGGTGGCGTTTGTGCACAGACTGCCCTACATGATATCATAAAAAAAGTCTTGACCACTGGACGGGTTCCGGAGGATTGGAAGGATGCCCTGGTGGTCTCCCTCTTTAAGAAGGGGGACGACACAGACTGTAACAACTACAGGGGCATCTCACTCCTGTGTGCCGGGAAAGGTCCAGGCAAGGATTATTCAACATCGCCTTGCTAGACACACTGAGGAGAGGCTTGCGAGCCCCAATTCGGTTTCAGGAAAGGGCGGTCCTGCACAGATGCCATATTTTCTGTCTGTCTGGTACAGCAGAGGTGTAGGGAATTCCAACAAGACCTACATCTCTGCTTTATTGACCTGGTCAAGGCCTATGATACCATCAGGAGGCCTGGGCTCTGGGTTGTTCGTGCTTTCGGAGTCCCTGATCCACTGCTCACGATCATTAAGGACCTTCATGATGGTGAGTGGGCCCGGGTAAAACTACGTGGCCGGGAGTCGGAGACATTCGCTGTTTATTTTGGGGTGCGACAGGGATGTCCTCTGGCTCCCACATTATGTAACATCTATTTCGACCACGTAGTTCGTGAAACCTTCAGTAGCTGTACCGGAGGAATTTACATGTGGTACAGATACAATGGGAGGCTGATTGATGCCCAGGTGCGGTCAAGGGATGGCTCCCTATTGCTCAACCATGTTATGTATGCCGATGATCTGGTAATAGCTGCTCACTCAGAAGAGGAGTTGGAGGCACTGCTGCTGGAACTGGAGCGTGCCACTAAGATGTGGGGACTTATCATCAGCCCCACCAAAACTAAGCACCTGCCTGGGTATTTTGTACCATCGGACACTCCACCCCCACAACTCCCAACTGGTCTTGGGGCAGTTGTGCAGAGAGTGGAGAGTTTCCCATACCTGGGCAGTGTGCTCATGACCGGCTCCGGTTTGACAGCAGAGGTCTCACTCCGAATCAGTCGAGCGGCAATATCTTTTCATCGGTTGCATACCGCTGTGTGGAAGCTACCTGGTCTGTCGCTCCGCACGAAACTTCAGGTCCTCTCGGCCACAGCCATTCCCTCCTTTCTCTACGCTTGCGAAACATGGACCCCCCTAATGGAGCATCTTCACCGGTTAGAAATATTTAGGCTGGCCTGCCTACGATCCATCCTGGGTTTAACCAGGCTGGATTGTGTGAGGAGCTCATATATCCTTGAAAGATCTGGACGAAGTCCCATCGGTGAGCTCCTCCGGTAGGCAAGGCTGTGTTGGCTGGGCCATGTCGCCCGCATGCCCAGCCACCGCATGCCTAAACAGCTTTTGTTCGGCCTGGATTGAGGGGGCTAAACGGGCGCAACACTGGGCTAAAGAAGAGATGGAGTGATGTGGTACAGGAGGACGTGGAGCTGAGTAGACTTGCCGATGACTGGTACCAGCGGTGTCAAGATCGGCCTCTGTTGAGGAGGCTCGTGAAGGACGCTACTGGGCAGTTGGATGCAGTCGCCCTCCAACAACAACGAAGGGCAGAGGAGCGACGCTCACAACAACGAGCGGAGCACCGGGTGGCTAAAGCGCAGCCAATTGGTACAGTAGGGGGCACAGGTGGTGCATCAGCCAGTCATCTCGGTCATCTCAGTCAGTCAACCCGTGGCACCTGGGTCTGCCCCGTGACCTCCTCGACATTTCACGTGGCCTCAAGGTGCACATGGCCTGGCACAAGCGTCGTGGTGACGTCACCGCCACTTAGTGGCGAATGGCGGTTGTTGTTGTTGTTCTAGATTTGAAGCTTTCGTGACTGCAAGGATTCATACTCTAAGTTTATTCAGTAAAGTCACGTAGGTAGAAAATGAAATTTAAATTAATACAAATAAAATAATAAAAATCACGACGTTTTGGAGGCAACACAAGTCTCCGTCGTCTGGTGGGACCGTCACAGCCAGACTTGCTGTATCAAGTGAGGCAGGGATTCCAAGATGCAAGTTCTTAACTTGTATTTAAGATTTTTATTATTTTTTATTAATTTTAATTAAATTTTTTACCTACGTGACTTTACTGAGAAAACGAAGAGTATGTTGTTGTTGTTGTTGAGTGGGTAGATGTGCGTGCGGGTGGGTGTCGTCGCTGCACCTTCTTAGAGGTGAGGTACTCCATGCCGCGTGCCACCTGGCAGGCGAAGGCCACCAGCTGCAGCATGGAGAGCGTTTCGCCCTTCACCTCGTCGCCGCCACCACCGCCACCACCGCCGCCGCCACCGCCATCACCGCCACCACCGCCGGCTCCGTAGCCGCCACGCACCGTGCACTCTGCGCCGGGCGTGCGGTGTGCACGCAGGAAGTCGCGCAGATTCCCCTTGGCCGCAAACTCAACGATCATGAGCAGGGGGCCTGGGGGAGTTGGGGGGGGAGGGGCACAGTGAGATGTTAACTATCTCGCCTGGTCTACAGGAGGTCGCGAGTTCAATTCCAACTCTGACGATGCCTGCTGCTGCTGCTGCTGTATATGTGGAGTCTGTGTGTCTCTTTATCATCATCACGGTGGCTATGCGATGTTAACTACCTCGCCTGGTCTACAGGAGGTCGCGAGTTCAATTCCAACTCTGACGATGCCTGCTGCTGCTGCTGTATATATGGAGTCTGCGTGTCTCTTTATCATCATCACGGTGGCTATGAGATATTAACTACCTCGCCTGGTCTACAGGAGGTCGTGCGTTCGATCCAGATGGATTTTTATTTCCCCCGTGTCCTACGGTTTTTCCCCTTTTCACATTTTGGAATAGACATCGCTACTAATGTCCATCAGCAATCGTCCGTGATGGCCAGGTGGCTTCCGGAACAAGAGTAACGCAGCTCGAGGGGGGGGGGGGGGGTCTTGCCTGACGACATACAAACTGGTGAGCAGCGGCGGGCAAGTCGCTCTCAACAGCAAACGTCACTGGGGCTGCCACTGTCAAGCAAAGCGGCTTGAGCTGCCGTGAGTGGCGGCGGCGGCGGCCAGGGGTCGCTTCTGAAGAGGAGCCGTACAGGCAGCGGAGTGCAGGCCTTGCCTGCTGCTCGAGTTGTCTACAAGTTCGTGTTGGTTTCATTGGCTTCGAAATAGAGAGGGGGACGGGGGAGGTGCAATGATCACAATCCCGGTTCTTTAGAAGCCGAGTCACCAAGAAGACGACCCAACTCTCGGCTTTGCCAACATCACTCGCGAAGCCAAATTAGTCCACAAGGTGAAGAGTTCATCGCCATCACGAGGGAGGGGGGCTGCTCACCCCCCCACTCACCACCCCCCCCCACGCTCACCACCCACACTCGCCACCCACGCTCACCACCCCCCCCACACTCACCACCCACGCTCACCACCCCCCCACTCACCACCCCCCCGCTCACCACCCCCCCACCCCCACCCCCGCTCACCCCCCCCCACACTCACCACCACCCCACCACACCCCCCCCCCCCGCTCACCCCCCCACACTCACCACCCCCCCCCACACTCACCACCCCCCCACACTCACCACCCTCCCACGCTCACCACCACACTCACCACCCCCCCACGCTCACCACCTCCCCCCACACTCACCACCCCCCCACCACCACCACCCCCCACACTCCCACCCCCCCACGCTCACACCCCCCACACACTCACACCACGCTCACCACCCACGCTCACCACCCCCCGCACTCACCACCCACACTCACCACCCACGCTCACCACCCCCCCACACTCACCACCCCCCACACTCACACCCACGCTCACCACCCCCCACACTCACCACCCACACCACCCCCCACACTCACCACCACACTACACCACACTCACCACCCACGCTCACCACCCCCCCGCCTCACCACCCCCCCACACTCACCAACCCCCCGCTCACCACCCCCCCACACTCACCCCCCCCCCCACGCTCACCGCCCCGTGTGCATGCGCCAGCAGGTTCACCAGGTGGCTGTGCCGTCCGATCTTCTTGAGGGTCTCCAGCTCCGCGTGGAGGTCGTGGGTCTCCGCTTCCGTGGCGTGCGCTGGGCTCGCACGCCGCACGTCCGAACACAAATTAAAAACAAACTCTTCTAGCGGTAAAGTCACCACGTAGAATGCAAATAATAAAATAATAAAAACATAATAAAATAATAAAACATAATTTAGTAATACAAATAGGTCTGTCTTTCCGACAGACCTGTTCTCACCTGAGGACGGCTGCTTGCGTTGTGGCCGAAACGTCGTGAGAATTGTATTTCATTGTTTTATTTTTATTCTTTCATTATTTCCCTTCTACGTGGACTTTACCGAAAGAACCAAGAAGATGAATCCCTGCAGTCACGAAAGCTTTACATCGAAATGTAAACTTGTAGCGATCGCCCCACAAACTCCTAGTTCTAGAACCCCGCGGGCGTCACCCTTCAGCATCTTGACGGCGACGCGAACGCTGCGGTGAGGCCGTGACGGCTCCATGCCCAGCGCCTCGGCCAGCAGCACGCGGCCAAAACAACCCTCACCCAGCTGCTCACCCAGAGTCAGCCTGCACACACAGACACACACACAGACACACACAGACACACACAGACACAGATACACACACACAGACACAGATACACAGAAACACACACAGACACACACAGATACACAGACACACAGACACACAGACACGCGCACAGACACAGAGACACGCGCACAGACAGATACACACAGACACAGAGACACGCGTGCAGACACAGAGACACGCACAGACGCGCACAGACACAGAGACACACACAGACACACAGAGACACACAGAGACACGCGCGCAGACACAGACAGACACAGAGACATAAAGACACAAGCACAGACATAGAGACACACAGACACAGAGACACACGCACACAGAGACATGCACAGAGACAGACACACACACAGACACACGCACAGACACACAAAACAAAGAACCCCCCTGTAGCCTTAACAGACTGTAGGGGCAAGTGCTGTTAGCGAGCACCTATGAAGGCCGGAACGGTACACAAGGGGGTGGGTGGCCAGCACCACGCCCGACCGCCTTTGTCTCCCCTGTGGCGATGTTTACACACCGCACCAGGTACTCATTTAAGGCTGAGTAGACCTAGGGGAGGCCCAGGACCGGTTCAGATAATCGTCACTGGTGTTGGCCGTGAGCGGGAATCGAACTCTGGTCGCCGGGTTCGTAGCGCAGCGTAGCGCTAACCACTACGCCATCACTCCACACACAGACACACACACTTATACACAGACATATACACAGACACACACACAAATAAACAGACCCACAGACATACACAGACATATACACAGACACACACATATACACAGACACAAACATATACACAGACACACAGACATATACACACAATAACGACGACAACAACGATGATAACAACAACAATGATGACGACAACAACAACGATGATGACGACAACAACAACGATGATGACGACAACAACAACGACGAACCGTTCCCGAGGGAACTCCCAGCGGTCGCACGGCCCCGTCACCCCCGACAGCTCCACGCCGCTCAGCGCAGACAGCACCTGGGGCGGCACCACAACCACCACCACCATCATCACCACCACCGCCACCACCACCTCCACCATCACCACCACCACCGCTACCACCGCCACCTCCACCACCACCATCACCACCGCTACCACCACCACTACCACCGCCTACCACCGCTACCACCAACACCACCTTCACCACCTCCACCACCACCTCCGCCACCACCTCCACCACCACCACCATCTCCACCACCACCACCTCAACTGCACCTGCATCTCCCCCTCTCCGCTGGTCGATCCTCTCCTCCTCCGCGTGAGGCCGGTGACAGCACCGATGGTGATCAGCAGCAGGAGGGCGGCGGCACAAGAACCGCCGCCCACTCTCACGGGAGCAGCCAGGGCGGTGTCCACTGTCACAGGGAGACAGGCGAGGTAGTCAACATCTCATAGCCACGTGATGAGAGAGAGAGAGAGACACGCAGACTCCAAATATACAGCAGCAGCAGGCATCGTCAGGGTCGGGATCGAACCCACGACCTCCTGCAGACCAGGCGAGGTAGTTAACATCTCATAGCCACCGTGATGATGATGAGAGAGAGAGACGCAAACTCCAAATATACAGCAGCAGCAGGCATCGTCAGAGTTGGAATTGAACTCGCGACCTCCTGTAGACCAGGCGAGGCAGTCAACATCTCAGCCACCGTGATGATGATGAGAGAGAGAGAGACGCAAACTTTAAATATACAGCAGCAGCAGGCATTGTCAGGATCGGGATCGAACCCACGACCTCCTGCAGAGCAGGCGAGGCAGTCGACATCTTACCAGCCGGCGTCTCTTGCGGCACGACGAGGAGCCATGCGGAGCGGTGAGCGAATCCCGCGGCGTTGCCCGCCAGGCAGGTGTAGCGGCCCGAGTCGTCCGTGCTGACGTTGCGCAGGTACAGCACGTCCGTCTCCACGTCCGTCACCTCCACGCCCACCGTCTTGAGGCGACACGGCGGGCGGCGCGGAGAGAGCGAGCGAATCAGCATCTTGTTTGTATACCCACGACGCAGGCTGCTGTGCGGGGTAGGGGTGATTTGGGTTGGAGCGTCGCATGTAAGCGTTGTGTCGTCGAACTCGCCACCACCCGACATGGCCAACGAGTAAGATTCAATGTCACGTGAACAAGTTTCAACGTTATTTATTTATTTATTAGGTACCAGCAGTAAGTACCCGGCGAAGCGGTGGCTTCTGAGTCCTGTTGTTTAGAGGGTGACGTCAGCCTCCGCTGAGTTTGGGTGGGTGGGTGAGTGAGTGGGTGAGTAGATGGGTGAGTGAGTGGTTGGGTGAGTGGGTGGGTGGGTGAGTGAGTGGGTGGGTGAGTGGATGGGTGAGTGAGTGGTTGGGTGGGTGGGTGAGTAAGTGGGTGGGTGACTGGGTGGGTGAGTGAGTGAGTGGTTGGGTGAGTGGGTGGGTGGGTGGGTGAGTAAGTGGGTGGGTGACTGGGTGGGTGAGTGAGTGGTTGGGTGAGTGGGTGGGTGGGTGGGTGGGTGGGTGAATGAGTGGGTGAGTGGGTGGGTGAATGAGTGGGTGGGTGAATGAGTGGGTGGGTGAATGAGTGGATGAGTGGGTGGGTGAATGAGTGGGTGGGTGAATGAATGAATGAGTGGGTGGGTGAATGAGTGGGTGGTTGAATGAGTGGGTGGGTGAGTGAGTGGGTGGGTGAGTGAGTGGGTGGGTGAGTGGGTGGGTGAGTGAGTGGGTGGGTGGGTGAGTGGGTGGGTGAGTGGGTGGGTGAGTGAGTGAGTGGGTGGGTGGGTGAGTGGGTGGGTGAGTGAGTGGGTGGGTGAGTGAGTGGGTGAGTAGGTGAGTGGGTAAGTGGGTGAGTGAGTGAGTGGGTGGGTGAGTGAGTGGGTGGGTGAGTTAGTGGGTGAGTGAGTGGGTGAGTTGGTGGGTGGGTGAGTGGGTGGGTGAGTGAGTGAGTGTGTGAGTGGGTGAGTGAGTGAGTGAGTTAGCGGGTGAGTGGGTGAGTGGGTGGGTGGGTGAGTGGGTGAGTTGGTGGGTGAGTAGGTGGGTGAGTGGGTGGGTGCCCCCGTGCCTCGCCCGCTCACCGTGAGGACGTGCACGTAGGGTGAGCCATTGGGTGCTTCGAGGCTGCCATTCACCTCCACGTGCTTGAGCCACTGCACGTGGTGGTGCAGCTGCTGCTGACTGCTGCCGCCAGCGCTCTGCAGGACAACGCAGCGGAGCTCCACGTCGCTCCCCTCCGCCGCCGTCACGTTCGCCGGGAGGCCGTCCTGCAGCGACGGCCGCTGGGGCTGGCCACGCTCTGCACGCCGGGAGGGGCGGGAGGGGGGAGGGGGGAGAGGCAAAAAAATTACGAAATGATGAACGAAGCAAAGTGCCGACTACACCGAGCATCTTCTTGTTTCCACTGATCGTAGAAAAAAAAGAGAAAAAAAGGGGAGGGGGGGAGATGATAGGGAGAGGGGAGATGGAGGGGTGAGAGGGAGGGGGAGAGGGAGGGGGGAGAGTGGAGGGGGGGAGAGTGGAGGGGGGGTCACCACCGATGACGACGAGCTGGTACGAGTGCTGGATGGAGCCGTGCTGGTTGCTGACCACACAGCTGTAGTTGCCCGCGTCAGAGGGCACCACGCTGTCCAGCACGAGCGTCCAGTCCTTGATCCTCAGCTTCAACAGCACAACAACAACAACATTACACACACACACATCGCCATTGTCTTACACACTGCTTGGTCCACACCAAAGTGTCGGACCAGACAATGTCACTCCCAGGACCATGTCTAGCAGCTCGTGGCTGCTTCCTGGACGGCGTGACAAATATAACAAGAGGCCGTCCACCCTTTCACCCGGCCATCAAACAGTTTGTACTATGAGACATCTCCTTTGCCAGTGGCAAAATAAAGTAATAGGTTTTTACCCTTTCAACTGGTACAAAAACTGACACCTTTATACAAGGCATCATGTTTGCAATAATACACAACACAAGCAGTCAAAATGCAAACAAAAAGGAACAACTCTGATGATGATAATGATATGCACTGTCCTTGAAGTTGATTGGTCCACACCCGAAACAGCTTTTCTTAGAGCCCAGTCTCACCCTGGTGTTGGACCAGACGCCAAAAGTTTGTGTCAAGATGTGAAACACATAATTCTAGATTTGAAGCTTTCAAGACTGCAAGGATTCATATTCTTAGTTTTTTCGGTAAAGTCACGTAGGTAAAAAAAATTAAATTAATAAAAGTAAAATAATAAAATAAAAATCACGACGTTTGGGAAGCTTGTGTTGCCTCCGAAACGTGATTTTTATTTAATTTTTATTTTACTTTTATTAATATAAATGTTTTACCTACACAGTGACTTTACCGAAAAAACCTAAGAATATGAATGTGAAGCCCAACCCGCTCACCTGACCCCGCTCACCCAGCCCTGCTCACCCGGCCCCACTCACCCAGCCCCGCTCACCCGGCCCCGCTTACCCGGCCCCGCTCACCCTGCCCCGCTCACCCAGCCCCGCTCACCCGGCCCCGCTCACCCGGCCCCGCTCACCCGGCCCCGCTCACCCGGCCCCGCTCACCCAACCCCGCTCACTCAGCCCGCTCACCCAGCCCCGCTCACCCGGCCCCGCTCACCCGGAAGGCCCCGAGGCGCCGCTCCTCCCCGCCGTGGAGGCGCCCTCCGTCGTGGTGCCAGGCCACGGAGGGCGTGGGCACTCCGGTGGCGAGGCAGCGCAGCTTGACGCTGCTGCCGCTGGGCACCACCCACAGCGGCCTGGACAGCGAGCCGGACATGCGGCTCCAGCGAGGGGGGCCACCAGACCCCGTGGTCGTGCGCACTTGGGGGGCGGGGGGAGAGATACGTCATTCGCCACTCACTCACCACTCACTCGCTCATCACTCGCTCATCACTCACTCACCACTTACTCACCACTCACTCACTACTCACTCACCACTCACACCACCACTCGCCACTCACACCGCCACTCGCCACTCACACCGCCACTCACCACTCAACACTCACCACTCACTCATCACTCACTCACCACTCAACACTCACCACTAAACACTCACCACTCACACCGCCACTCACTCACCACTCACACCGCCACTCGCCACTCACACCGCCACTCACCACTGACCACTCACCACTCACTCACCACTCACACCGCCACTCACCACTCACACTGCCACTCACCACTCACCACTGACCACTCACCACTCACTCACCACTCACACCACCACTCACCACTCACACTGCCACTCACCACTCACCACTGACCACTCACCACTCACTCACCACTCACACCGCCACTCACCACTCACCACTCACACTGCCACTCACCACTCACCACTGACCACTCACCACTCACTCACCACTCACACCGCCACTCACCACTCACCACTCACACCGCCACTCACCACTCACCACTGACCACTCACCACTCACTCACCACTCACCACTCACACCGCCACTCACTCACCACTCACCACTCACACCGCCACTCACCACTCACTCACCACTCACTCACCACTCACTCAACACTCACCACTCACACCGCCACTCACCACTCACACCGCCACTCACCACTCACACCGCCACTCACCACTCACCACTCACACCGCCACTCGCCACTCACCACTCACTCACCACTCACACCGCCACTCGCCACTCACTCACCACTCACACCGCCACTCACCACTCACACCGCCACTCACCACTCACACCGCTACTCGCCACTCACTCACCACTCACACCGCCACTCACCACTCACACCGCTACTCGCCACTCACTCATCACTCACACCGTCACTCACCACTCACACCGCCACTCACCACTCACACCGCCACTCACACACATGAACACACACACGTACACACACACGTACACTCACACACACACACGTACACACACGTGAACACACACGTACACTCACTCACACGTGAACACACACACACACGTGAACACACGTACACTCACACACGTACACACACACGTACACACACACGTACACACACACGTACACTCACACATGCGCACACGCACATACACGTACACACAAAATCATACGTACACTCACGTGAACACACACACGTAAACACGTACATTCACACACGTACACATGAAATATGGGAATTGACGGCAGGAACTTCTTGACGGGTAACACACTTTTATTAAATCCTTTAGGTATCACAATACAACGTGTGGTCTCTCTTCTTCCTCCGACACACTCCACTAATCTCGTGTAAGCTCTAGGCCTCTGGCTACACCCGATACACTTGACTCGTGTAGACCCTATGCCTCTGGCTACACACAATATACTCGACTCGTGTAAGCCCTATGCCTCTGGCTACACAATACACTCGACTCGTGTAAGCCCTATGCCCTGGCTACACATAGTACATTCGGCTCGTGTAGACCTATGGCTACACCCACTACACTCGCCTCTGGGTTACACAGAGTCCCGGTCCCCTTAGGACAGCGGGGCTAGGTACCGCAGGGCTCTAGGTCTTCATCCCCGTCTTCCTTCTTCGCTGATTACACCCTCCCCTTACGCCTGTGTGCATCCCCTTTTATAGCCCCTGCTCACGAGGGACGGAGCTGATGCGGCGTCGACGTGAGCGTCGTTCCTTAATGACCCAATCACGACGCACTCTCTCTACGATCCGCTTTCCCCAGCGCGTGTTAACATTACTCCACCAATCACACTGCGCTGCCACCTGATCACTCCCTCTCAGCGCGTCACCACCTACACAGCCAATCATCACGCACTGTGCATACGATCCTTAATCCCAGCGCGTATCACCTCTACATCACCCCCTCCCACATAGCTTGCAGCCGGCCCGGCTGTTAACCTACAACACAACATAACGCAACGCAGTAATAAAGAACTCCACATCCCAGTGTGCCCCGTAACACAACAACAACAACATAACACAACCTTAAATATGAAGCAATATACAGCCCGACGAACAACACAATAAAAGCGAACACCGTAAAACGAACGCGCCAAGTGTCACTGTGACCCACGCAGTGCCGAGGCGCTCCGGCTGCCTCGACTCCGCACGTGGTAGGTTACACAAAGTAGCGCGACCTAGCGCGAGTCCGTCTGGCCGGTCCGTCGTATGGAACGGGACGTTGGCGACCGTCCGGTGTCTCCGGCAGCTCTAGACGGCACGGGTCGGGCCTGGAAGGACCGGCCCCGCCGTGAAGATCCGGCCGCCGGTGGTCGGCAGCAGTCAGTTCCGAGACACCTGGGAGCGGATCAGGCGGAGACATGTGAGGAGCAGGCAAGGACAATTCCCCCTCAGGGTCGTCGGTCACGTCACATGCTCGGCCCTCACGACACAAGGGGAGGCCATACGGAGGCGAGAACGGTTTCAGTCGGGAGGGGTGGACGTACCAACGGCGTTTCCCCCATTTTATCTGAACGCACTGGGGGCGTGCCACCCGCACGACCTCCACGGGTCCCCGCCATGGCTTCAACAATTTAGGCGACGTGGCCAAGGGTGCCTGAGGGCAATGCAGCCAGGCCTTGTCACCTGGTTCCCAATTGTGCACGGACACCTTCCGTGCCCGCAACCGCTCGTTCGCAATTTGGCGAGCCCGCGAATTAAGCCGTGCGGCCTCCCTTGCCTCTGTCAGTTTATGAATATTAAATTTAATATGCTCTGCCAATTTAGAATTAGTTCGTGGTGCGGGCAGACCCAGCTGCGTTTCCATGGGCGGGTCGGCTTCCCGACCGTACATTAGAAAAAACGGGGAAAACCCCGTAGCTGCATGGGGGGCCATTCTATACGCGGCAAGGACCCCAGGGACCTGCAGGTCCCAATCAACATGCGACTCACACACCTGCTGGCACAGCATAGAGGTCAATGTCCTGTTAAGCCTCTCCACCATCCCGTCCGTCTGCGGGTGGTACGGGGAGGTACGCACCTTTTTGGTACCCAACAGGTCGCACACCTCCTGCAGTAATTTACTCGAAAAATTTTTCCCTTGGTCAGTCAGCAAGCGTTCGGGAGCCCCCTTGTCCAGGACGTAGCCCTGGACAAAGGCGTCCGTCACAGCCGCCGCCGACTGGTTGGCGAGTGGCCACGCCATAGGCCACCGGGTAAAATATTCGACCCCCACCAACAGGTACTTATTACCCCTAGGCGTGACCGGAAAGGGCCCCAGAATATCGAGTGCAACGAGCTCGTTAGTGCGCGAGACCTGAATAGATTGCAGCGGTGGATTAGCTGCCACGGGCGGTGGTTTCCGTCTGGCGCACTCAACACAACCCTTCAGAATATTCACCACGTCGCCCCCCATTCCCGGCCAATAATAGTCACGCTGAAGCAGGGCAAGCGTTTTGTTAACTCCCAAATGCAAGAGGCGTTCGTGTGCGGCCAAGACAACCTTCCCCCTCACAGCAGAAGGCACCACAATCGCATGCCGCCGGGACAAACTGTCCCATCTCATCAACAGGCCCTGCTTAAGCTCGTAGGAGCCAGTTCGGTCGTGGCTACCTTCGGAACCCTCCGTCTTTCGGCGCAATGCCAGCAGGGAGCTGTCCGCCATTTGGAGACGGCCCCACTCAATCAACGACAGTGAGAGCAGCGAGTCCTGACCCCCTGGGGTAGCGGGACCATCCCCAATTGGTGTGCTCGCGGTCGCAACCAACGCCTCCCTACCTTCCGTAACCGGAGGTTTACAGCGCGCCGATCCCGATAAGCACGCACATTTGTGACAAGGCAACAACCGCGACAGGGCATCGGCATTCGTGTGTCGCAACCCTTTACGGTACGTAGTCGTGAACTGATAGTCCTGGAGGACTTCCAACCACCGCGACAATTGGCCCGAGGGCTGGGCAACCCGTAATGAATACTGGAGCGCCGCATGGTCCGTCCGGACCGTGAAATGACGACCATAGAGATATGGCCTGAATTGTTGTACAAAAAAAACAATGGCAAGTAGTTCACGACGGGTGACGCAGTAGCGCTGCTCTGCCGGCGACAACACCCTGCTACCATAGGCGACCACCCGTTCGACCCCTCCAACGACTTGGGACAGCACTCCCCCAATGCCCGTGTTGCTAGCATCCGTGTCTAGCAAGAAGGGACTCTCAAAGTCCGGATAGCACAAGGGTGGGGCCCTTACCAAGGCGTCCCGGAGGGAGCAGAATGCAGCCTCCTCCTCCGGTCCCCACCGGAACTTCACTCCTTTTGCCGTTAAAGCGTGCAAGGGCTTTGCAATGGTGGCGAAGTGCTCAACGAATCGGCGATAATACGAAGCAAAACCGATGAAACTGCGCACGTCTGACACTGACGTGGGCGTCGGCCACGAACTGACACAGTCCGTCTTCGCAGGATCGGTAGAAATCCCCGAAGAGTCGACAATGTGACCCAAGTACCTCACGGATTTACGAAAAAGATGGCATTTGGCCGGTTTAAACTTTAATTTAGCCGATCGCATTTGCAAGAACACCCCTCTCAATCGCTGGAGGTGTTCTTCGAACGTTTTACCGAAAACAATGACATCGTCAAGGTAAATGAGGCACGTCTCCCACTGCAAGCCCGACAAAACCAATTCCATAAGACGCTGAAACGTCGCAGGAGAGGAGTGAAGTCCCATGGGTAACCGGTTAAACTGAAACAGGCCCCCTGGAGTCCGGAATGCAGTCTTAGGCTTAGACTCCTCGTCGAGTGGCAACTGCCAAAATCCGGACAATAAATCAAGAGTCGAGAAGTATCGCGCACCGGACAATGCATCGAGAGACTCGTCCATCCTGGGGAGCGGATATGCGTCGGCCACC